TATATGTATTGCTATATACCGTGCGTTGATATCTCAAATATGAACTAATTTTACAGTACATAAAAAGATTAACAAATCGTGGTTAGTAATTAAATGAAAGCAAATGAAAGGAATTTTGTTTAGGGAGGAGGGAGAGAGAGAGTGAAGATGCTGGGTTTACATATATATTCAACGAAAAATAATGTAAAACAAGACATATTCTTGGAAAGGGAGTAATTAGTCTTTATCGTAGATGATTGCAGAGACTGCCCCCCTCAACATTGTTCGTGTAGTCACATGGACATGGATTCTCCTGCCAGACTCTTTGCTGTTTCCTCCTCCCTTCCCCTGCTACCTGTTCTGTCTTTGCCCTGCCTAATTTGCCACGTACCCTCTTCTCTCCCCCTCTCTCTGCCCCTCCCACCAGAGTTTTCCTTGTCTAAATTGTCATTATGACCAAATCAAACAAGAGGCAACATTCTCCAAAGACAAGAACTCTGCAATATTACTATCATTACCAATGAATGGGAATAATTTTACAGCCACGAGAACCTCTGTATGTTAATTCTCTTTTTCAACTAATCATTCCCTTCCAAAAACAAAAAAAAAAACCAACACCACTTCTGATTTCAAAATGACAAATCTTCCTAGCAATCGAGGACTTGAATGACTTATATAATAATAAAATAAAGAATAAGTAGTTTTTTAACTCGCTTTCTTTAATATTTTAATAATATGTTTCCACTTGTAAAATAATAAGAGAATCTCTGTGTCTCTCTTTTCTCTCTCTTTAGCCTTCACAAGACCTCTCGTGCAACCTGGCGTCTCAGATGCATGAATATTGTTAGATATTGAGACCCTTTATAAAGGGTAGATAGAAGGACTTTCTCAGATTATAGAGAAGAGCCTAAATTTGTGGTTGTTTCCAAGTTCTATGTTGAGGGCATTGTTCTAATAGGCTAAGATATCAACACTTCCTTCAACAAGAAAGAAAAGCTCTCTAAAACTCTGATAGAGAGAAATTAAGAGAGATGGCATTAGAAGCTGTGGTGTTTCAGCAAGACCCTTTTAGTTTTGGCAGCAAAGACTTCTATAGCTCAGGCGGAAGTGGGAGTGGACCCTGCAGCTATAACTTTGGTTTTCAACAAGAAGAAGAAAAAGCTTACGGTACTGAAGAAACTCTAGCTAAAAGTAGAGGCGTTGATTTCAGTGCAACTTGGGGCTCCTCACCTTCTTTGATGGTGCAGCACCAACCCTTAAAGGAATGGGACTCCAACTCTTCTTCCCCGGATAATGGCTTTCTCAGCTGCGGATTCTCTCCTGCGGAACCCCCAGCGGGCGCCATGTCATGCCGGCGGAAGAGACGGCGGACCAAAAGTGTCAAGAACAAAGAAGACATAGAGAACCAGAGGATGACTCATATCGCTGTTGAAAGAAACAGGAGGAGGCAAATGAATGATTATCTGGCTGTGCTCAAGTCTATGATGCCTGCGTCTTACGTTCAAAGGGTACTTTTTCCTTTTCCTTGACCTTTTTCACTTCCAAGTATTTCTTTTGTACTTACTAAGTTCAACAAAAGAAAATTTTTTAATTTGTAATATTGTTTTTATTGACAATAGAAAAAGCGCTTTTGAAAAACGAATTAATGGTCGAAAGTCTCTTTTTTCATAGGGAGACCAAGCATCAATCATAGGGGGAGCAATTAATTTTGTAAAAGAGTTAGAGCAACTCCTCCAATCTTTAGAAGCACGGAAACGAATGGGAAAAAGATCAGATAACTCCACCCTTTCTTCACTCTTCTCCGATTTCTTTTCCTTTCCTCAGTACTCAACTGGCTCCACCAGTACCCACCGTAGCTGCGCGGCGGCGACCTCTGGCCAGTCAATGGCTGAGAAGCGGTCATCATCTGTTGCGGATGTTGAAGTAACAATGGTGGAGAGCCATGCAAACCTCAAAATACTATCAAAAAGACACCCAAAACAGCTATTGAAAATGGTTGCGGGGCTTCACTCTCTAGGCCTTTACGTGCTACACCTTAATGTCACATCTGTTGAACATATGGTCCTTTATTCTTTGAGTGTTAAGGTAATTTAATAACTCATAATTATCAATTAATTTCTTCAACAATTCAACATTTTCTTTTTTATGCAATTTTACTTGTTTATTGTCATTAATATGGGATTCATGATTTTTTTTTGTCCGGTTGGGACAGGTTGAAGATAATTGTCAGCTAACTACGGTGAACGAAATTGCAGCTGCTGTGTATGAAATGGTGGATAGGTTTCAAGAAGAGGCAGCTGCTTAATTCATGTTTTATGAGAACATAAGTTATATTTTTTACCATTAATTTTCATGTTTTTGCGGTGCTTAATTAGTTAATTCTACTTATTGTTTTTAGATAACTTGGTGGAACTTAGGTCTAGTTTCCATTTTCTTTACTCTTTTTTTTGGGTTTAAGTCTAGCAATTGTGTTACACAACAAGGTGATGATCCTCTAGATTTTCTTAACATCTAATTTCCTAATGCTGGGAAATGGCTTTAATTGTGTAAATATTGTGTTAAAGTGAAAATTAATTGAACTTTATATATCTTTAAAGAGCGTATACTATTATTATAATGCTAGTTAACATAAACTGATTAAAGAAAAAGGGAAAATTAAAGGATAAAAGAAAACCAAGTATATTGTTATTCTTAATTTATACATATTTAACATTGCAAGTTGTAAATCACATGTCGATCCATTCATATTTATAAGGGACTTCTATCGTATCAGACATTGTAATTCTTTTTCTCTTTTCGTTCTGTTTATTCATCTTGTGGGATGTTAATTGGTTGGAGCCTTTTAGCCATTTTGTATCAACTTGCTCCCAGTATACTCCCTGGACAGTAAGTTCTTTCTCTTGTAAAATTTTTTTAATGAAATATATTAATTTCGCTGAGAAAAAAATTATTCATAATGATAACTCCATTTTAATTTAAGCTCTTAAAATTTTTTTCTTTACAAAAAAAAAAAAAAACTCTGGAAATTTTGAGAGGACATGCATGAAGAAGCCTATTATATATATTATTATATATATGTAAAAAAAGTAGGAAATTGGATGAAACTTGAAGACTTTCATATAGGGTTGGTGGATTTGCCCTCGTTCTCTAATTTCCTAACATATATATTTGCCCTCTATTTTTTTTGTTTTATTTAAAAAAAAAATTCAAATTCAACTCTTTCAAATATAAAACCTATATATTAATCTTTGAATTAAATGCTATGTTTTTTTTTTGAAAAGACATAATGTTATATAAATTTTTTTTTACTACATAAGAAACTTATGCAATTTACGTGCATTTTATTCCTTACTAAAATGAGATAACACATAAACCATCAAAAGAAGTTGAGACACAACTTATTATTTAAAACATAAAGATATGATTGTCATTTCATTCTGTTAATATATACTAGTATATATCCATTACTTATACTGGTAATAATACAGTTGCATTATTTAAAAAAACAAATCACTCTAAGGCAAAACGACATGCCTATGAAAGAAAGCAGAGCGGGTACTCAGCATCTAGCCCAGCTCTTGATGGAGACTTTGCTCCAAAAGTCATGACAAAGAACCTTGGGACCCTCTTTTATTTTGGTAATCTTTGCTTGCATGATTCGACAAAGAAGAAAAATTGGGATTTTCGGATTTCCTGATTTAGAAAAGGTCAAGCTCTTAAGAGGCCCAATCCTAGTTCAACACATATACAATGTAAAACGTGTTAAATTCCACTATTCAAATTTAGTTTATTAACAATGATATAGTCTTTTTGTATTTTATATTTATGTTCATGGAACGCGAGGCCTCGTGCTTTGAACGACAAAAAGCTTGCATTTTGTTTTTAATACGTTCGGCTTATGATTAATCCAATAAATAATTAGTGCTGTTAATTCAGAATAAATGATGAAACGTGGCCTTCATTATATTTTGACATCTCTGCCTCTTTAAGTTTGAGTACTAGTTATATATTTCTTATTCGAAAATAGTGCGGGAAAAATATTTTTTTAATAAAAAGAAATTTAAAAAATGGTCATTGGTGCCCTTTTGCTTTGTATTGACATGTCTTTTTACTTCATATCGTATAAAGAGGATTATGGTTGAGTATCTATGAGCATAGTTTAGAAAATGTATGATTGAAACGAAATAGAAAAGGGTAAATAATAGAGAGTACGGAAATGAGTGAGAACTGGCTTGTGCCCATTTTTATATGTCAAAGGCAGTGGGCCAAGCAACCGAAGATCCATTGACCATTTCAGCAGCTAAGGGCTCCAAGTTTGTAGGGCCCATTTATGCTTTTTAGGTTGGAAGTGTTCAGAAAAAGTTCAGCATCTTTTAAGATTGCTGTTCTCCTCATTTATTAAGCAAGGCAGACAAGGAATTATATTATAAGTTATTTATGGAAGGGTTAAAATATTAGTATTTTTAAGTTTTGAAGCTTGGGTATCTAGTAAAAAATTAAGTATTAGTAAGTGAGTTAAAGGGCAGTAATAGGTCAAGTTAATTAGTGTATTATTAAATTAAGACGAGGTTAAAAGTTTGGTTTTAACCACTCAGCAAAAAAGTTTTACATTGATTAACTAATCAACATTAACCATATAATATACATAATAAAAATTTTTGATTAAATAAATCCTATGACCAACTCCGCACGAAAATCTCGTGTCAGGGTCGGCATCACCACCCTAGAATCCGCCTTTGGTTGGTTTGCTGAATGGCCAGCCATAAGTGGCTTGGCATTATGCAAAAAACAGAAAGGAAAATTTGAGTTGGCATCACCATCCAAACCTCGAACAGAATTGTGGTAATAGAGTTTAGTTCCAGCCTTGTAACTCCTATTTTTCCATAATTCCAGCCTGTAGTTCACTATGAGCCCCACCCCTTGCTGAAATGGAATAATATATATATATATAAATACTAAATAAAAGAACCAACGTATGTACATCCAAAGAGATTATAAATGTTCACATTAAGACTGTTCATTCACAAAGGTTAAAACAATGCCCCTTTTTGTGTTTGCAAAAGTTGAAGACATCAGCCTGAAAAGCAAAGATCAAAGAAGATTTGATATTCACAAGGATTTAAAAGCAAGTACACACACGCAAAAAAGAAAGCTATAAAGCCACCAAAGTTTTCTATGATTCAATAAATACTTGTACCAAAAAAACCATGTTGATGAAGACAATATCAATTATATGTTGCTTGAATAGATATTAATTTTTGTCAGACTCGTGAGAAACAAGTTTGTCACCTTGTCAATTTTCAAGAGCTTAGATTCGATGCCCCAATTACTCCTCTCTCTCTCTCTCCGCCTTCTTTAACAAAGAAAAGACAGTTCCATTCTAAGATTTATCATGGCCAATTGAACATTGGCCGTCTGCAAAATATGTTAAGTGGGGGAAAACATTCATAATTAGAAATAAAATGATAATTAATATATTTATTAAACGTATAATACAAAGCATTAAATACTATATTAACAAAGTAGGGTTTTGTCTTAAATGGACATCAATAATTTGAAAGTACAGTAATTATATATATATATATACAGATATATGTGTATACATATGTATATAACCTTTTAAAATACATCCAAACAATAAAATGAAAAAAAAATGAAAAATCTACTTACAATGTTGATAATTGTTGCTTTTTGTAAAATTGGTCCAGCCTCTAGCGTCCAGCAAGAGTTAACAATAACTATTTGGGCTTAGGCCTAGTTTTGTTGTTCCTCCATCACGAATGGTCCAAAAGAATCTGACTGAGCCGAGGCCTTGGGCACTTTGGGTGGAGAAAATGCAATATGTAAATAAATTTTTTATTTTATATATGTACCCGCGTGTGTAGTTATGATTGAATCAAATATTTAAAATAAAAAAAAACATGATTTGAAATTTGTAAACTGATGAGCCAAATATTCTAATAAATCTCATGGGCAAGAAATTACGAATATATGATTCAAATTAAATAATAGGTGACTCGAGTCATGACTTTTACTATTGTTATTTTTCTAATCATGACCGATAAAGAAGTTTGTGTAGCACCAATTTGAAGAGAACACGAGCTTTAGAAATGGAAAAATATGGATTGACAGCTTATGACTCAAAAATAATACTAACATTATTATAATTAATCTTTATGACAGTGGTCATATATATATATATATATACACGAACATTATTCTTTATTAGTCTTTGTGACAAAATTTACTACTACTTATAAGGAAGACAGTAGTAGTATTTTATGGGGAAGATTAGCCGAACCTCAAAAAAAATAGCACCTGACTTAAAGTACAATTTGACAGTATCAAGGGGAGGAGTGGAGGGTCCATAGTTACTTGCGCAAGTGAATATAAAGAATGTGAACACTCTTATGCCTATGGCTATGGTATCAATGGGAACAGAGATGAGATGGGACGAGCAAAGCTAGATATTTTTTGGGTGGAAAGTGCCATCCGAGAAGTGAAAAACATGTTGATCGAACGATCAAGAAATGCCCACTTTCAAGTGGCTACGGCTGGCTGGCCCACTTTCAAGTGGCAAGACAATATTTCAAGAGGGTGGGTGGGTAAACATTAGATAGAATTCCTTTCCAATACTGATTTCTATGAAAGCGAATAAAAGTTGAAGGGTAATTAAGTGCGTTATATATATTTGCTAAAAATATGAGGTACGGATAAATTTTCTTAAAGTCAAAATAATAAAAAGGGATTGTCAAATCTATTTTACCTTGATGAACTAGAGTGATTGTTATCGGATATGAAATAAATTGAATATCGACACTTGATTTATGTAGATAAAATATTATATACAGCATGATTCACCAGTTTGGTCAAAATTACTTTGTGAATATGCATGTAAAAGTGCTAAAAATTAAACCTTGCTTATTAATAATTAAACATCATACGAATAAGGATTTAACCAAAGCAAGCATATTTTAGTTCTCAAATATTTTTACAAAAACCAACTATTCTTCTTGTATTCTGTACCCTTATACAGATGCAGCCTTAATTTTATTATGTGCTGTTAACTAGCCTTGAATTCACAAGGGAAGGATCGAGTCTTGGCTTCTGCTTTTTTTGGATGATAAGAATTTTCCACCACTTGAGAAAGACCTTTTCATTGAAATTTGCCCCTTGGACAAAGAACGCCCAATAGAACAACTTTTCATCATCTTGCATATGCTTGAACTTTCACTGCCTCGCTTACCAACAATCTTCACCTTTGGATACTTTAGCTGTCGTAATTCTGTATCCAAACTTCCGTGATGTTTATGTGCTCCATTCCCTGGACCAGCTACATCGCTATGAATTTCCAAGGCAGAAGATAAATCCAGTGAAACTGACCTCCTCGTCGGTTGATCGTCATCCTGAACCCCAGCTATATTGCTTAAGATTTGAGAACCAGAATCAGAAATCCTTGTCTTAGAATGTTCCGAACTTTTCTTAGAATTTTCACTAGTGTTTTCATCTTCAACTGGACAAGTTCTCACTTCACTAGTCTCACCTTCACCAACATCATTTCTCCCCAAACCACCATAATTCTCTGAATTTTCGACCAGAGTTTCGTTCCTTGAACCTGAATCACTCGAATTAGGCTCCGATGCACACGCTTGAGCAACCATGGATTCACAAACAACAGGGGCTCGACACAGTGGACAATTTTTATGGGACCTTAGCCACGTATCAATACAAGGAAGGTGAAAAGCATGACTACACTTGGGCAAAAGCCTAAGACTTTCATCTTCTTGGAACTCATTCAAGCAAACAGAACACTCGGTCCCTTCAATCAACCCTTCATCTTTTTTATACTTAAAAACTGTGATGGAATCAATAACCGACTGTTGGAGTCCAATAGTGTTGATGTACCATATGGGGTTGTCTAAATGTGGTTCTGGTCCTCGATCTTCATCAAGAAAATCTTCCTGAGCACCAAAAAAAAGAGGCATACTTCCTGTCCTTGAACGATTCCTCCTGAGAAAATAAGATCTGACAAGTGCGCAAAAAATAGCAATTAGAAGAGCAGTACTTAGCATACTTCCTATGACAATTACGCCAGTGATCATGACATTCCCTTGCTTACAAGACGACGTGTGAAGAGGAGTAGAAAGAGGAAGTGGTGGCTTTGGTGGTGACGGCCTTGGTGGTGGAGTCAGCGCCACATCCACATGGTTGTGCTCACAATCACGTAATTGTCCACTACGAGCCATTGCAAGAACAGAGAAGGAAACAGAGGAAAATCAAGCAGGGGGCCTAATAAGATTCATGCCCATGGAGCCTGGAAGAAGGAAGGTGAGAGAAGAGAAGAGATTATGAAATAGCTTTTAGCTTTACTTTTTTGTTCACCATCCTTCTCCATAGGGTGGGGGTTAGAATTAATGGTGTGACCAGGGAGTTTGGCTTCCCCTCTGCCTTTTTTGTTCTTTATTCCACAAACGAGATGTGAGGGTTTGAGACATTTCGCTTTCCTTGAAAGACTAGTATGTCCATTTGCATTTACTTGGTGGTTTCGTTTTTCCTTGGTTTTGTCCAAGTCTATAGACTTTGCAGTCAACCACGCGGAAGACGTTACCGTGGGGTTCATGGAAAAGAGAGGAAAACCAAGCCCACCCCTTTAAAAAGGGTTCCTGCTTTTTGCCTTGTTCGGTCTGCCAGAGTTCAAGCCCATCCACGGATTTACTTGAACACTTTCACCATGATTGGATCAAAGCCACCCACTCCTTTCCTCTATTTTCGGAAACGTAGGTCAGTAAACGTCAGTTACATGTAAAAAGAGGGGCAAAAAAGGTTATAACACCTGGCTTCACTTTGCCAGGGAAGTTGAATTTCAATTTCAAATCATAAAGCAGACCACCCTAGGAAAATCATGCTTGAAATTATTAACACTATGCTATCAAAGTTGAGAATATCCTAATCATGATTATAAATTAAGGATAATAGTTTTTGCCCATATGACTTGGTCACGTTTTCATGTATGTCGTCCCTCTCTTTAACGAAAAGGCCCCACTCTTTTGGTTGGAAGTCGGCCTTAACCACATTGGATGTGGAAACAATTCTCGCTCCCTCAATATGTACAATGTTTATCTTTTGGTTTTGGAAGTGATCATCTTCTTCTATAATATAAGTACTATAATTATATCAGTAAAGTTTAAATTTGGTAACCTTGTAAACCCATTTTTTCCTTAAAAGAAAAACATACTAGTATTCTTAAAATAAAAGAAAATAAACGGTTAATGCATTGTATGTTGCTGGAGCTATATCTATGATAAAGAATAGATAAGGAGCAAAAATCTTGCGCCAATATTCCGTCATCTCCTTCTCCAATCTTTAATCTTATTTACTCTATGATAGAATCATCAAGTTCAATGAGACTTTCCATACAAATCTCCACAAGAAAGGCTTTAACATTCTTCGACCGAGGACGGTGGACGTCTTTAAACGTCTTTTCCTTTAATAATCCAAAGGCCTCAAAAATGTATAGATGAGGAGTCGAAGATATCCTTCCTTGGAAACTATACAGCATCCTCCAACACTCTTGCACCCCATAATCCTTCATCATCCATATATTAATGTTGATTAAAATCAGTAAATTGACGTTACGAATAGCCTCTTTAGTCGGGTGCTACAGTGTATGCTACAGCTGTCCACAAAATTACATGAGCATGAGTAATGGGTTCCTTTGGTCAAAAACGTAGTTGAGAGAATGAAAACAACCATCGGTGGTATTAATTCAAAAGACAAGTTTGCCAATAAAAAATCAATGGTTTTAATCTTATAATAATTGAAAAGGGAATAAATTTGTGCACAATGGTGTAAAAACTCAGTGAAACATTAATTTTTGTACCCATTGTATAAATTAGTGTGGTAACAATTGATTGAACCAATTTTTAATATTTGATTCATAATTTCCTTAGTTCGGAAACAAGTCTAGAAGATCTTTTAGATAATGGATATAGATTTTTTGAAACTTGATCATACATTTACAAGTATTTATGATTCGACATAATACAAATGTTCTTTTATCCTTAAATATCTATGATAAAGAACAAATAAAGAGTACTCCCAAACATTTGATTAATTAGTAAGTGTATTATCCCTCTACTTAAAAAACAGAGTTCGAATTTTTCTTTCTAATTATATATATATATAAAGATCATACCATAAAAGAGATTGGCCATTCCGGTCTAATAGAAGTTGGTCACCATTCCTTGAATAAGTTAAAGGCCTCACCATATAGACTAGGAGTTTAATATATCCCTCCTTGGAAACTATACAGCATCGTCCAAGACTCTTTCACCCCATAATCCTTCATCATCCATATATTAATTGTATCATTGAAATGAGTGGCAATTGCACAAAGACATCCTTGCAAAGCCCCCACAACCACATCATATGTTTCATTTTCCATGTTGTCGAGCAGCTCTATTAGGCCATGATTCTCAGTTTCAACATAAAAGGCAATGATGCTTACGGGATATCCCCATATTTTCTCTTTAATTGCATTCCAATGGAAAGCTCCACAAACAAATGTACCCATTACTGAAGGATAACAAAAGTAGTAAGGGATTTCTTCACCCCTTCTCCATGTATTTGTTTTCAGGCTGTAAATTTTTGCTTCACTTATAAGTGTATCAGTTGATGAGTCGACCTCCTTTACAACTTTTACTATCTAGTAATCATCATTTATTGAATCATACCCAAAACCATAGAAGTTTGAAATCTTTCACCATGCACCTCTTTCTTTCCACGACTTATTCGGTATGATTTTATAATCTCTTGTTGAGATGTTCTACAACACGATTATCTTACTGTTGATTAAGCAAACTAATCCATTGCATAAACCAAAAAATAGAACATCTCTATCACCTTCATCACATCCACTAAGATGCTTCAATGAGTGATCAATTGTTGTGGGGTTGTTGAAATTGATGCCATTGAAATTTGTAGAAAGGAATTTATCTGATCTTATTTCTTTAATTATGATGTTGACTTTGGTTTCCACTGATTGCCTATGATGGAGTTTGATGAAATAAAGATCATTGATTAAGGAATACCATTCCTTTGAACCGCTCTTGAAACGGAGAAGAGGCTTGACAGGAAGCCGACTCAATATGCTTCTCACTACATCCATGGGAATTCCACAATTGGACATGATTGTCACAAGCCGATAATTTTTCAAGGACTGCAAACAAAAAATAATGAAAATTAATTATAGCACAAGGTTGTTATTTATACTATATATATACTGTTATTTGCTAAATCCTATATGGAATAAGATATCCAGTTTAATTAGATGTACAAGAGACCTAAATTAAAACTCTTATCTCCTATAGATCAAATTAACCGCCTTGATGACAATTTGTTGCTTTTCTTCAAATTTATTTTTGATTATAATAATATTACTTCTTTCACAAGTAAACATGGCACTTAATCATATTGAATTTACACCCTTTTCACACAAAATCAGCTGAATATTGGTATGGAAATTTACTGTCTCGCTTTTAATTACTATGTCCTATATCAAGACAGCCATTACTGTCCCCTACCAACAATTTAAATTCCCCTTACAAAAGCCGTGCAATTCAGACAGTAACAGAAAATAACAATCGTTATAATTAATTTCAAACAAAATAAGTAAACAAGAAGTCAATAAATAGTTATTGTTAGACCACTGAATTGACGGCGTTTTGTATTGACGAAATTAACAAAAATATCAAACTTTTATAGTATTTTTTTGCAAGAAAATAGTATAAAAGAAAATTTAAAAAACTTGAAAAGGAAGGAAAGTTTTTGTTTTTTGATGTACGTTCAATTGGATAAAGAAGATTCTCTTTTATAGATTTACATGTTTGTTCCCAACAAACATTATTTGTGTCTATTTCAAAGAATTGGTCCTATTAATCTTTTCCAATAAAATTGACTTTTTTATTATTATTTATTTATTTATTTTATTTTCAACAAACATTACCCTTCTTTTAATTTTAATTTTCAACAATCACAATTTATCTTTCTATTTTGATATGAAATCATATATTTTATTTGAAAATGTCCAACAGTTATATGCTGAGAGGACTGATGTTTCTTGGAGCTCTTGTGAACCTGATTTCTTACCTCTTGCCATG